ACTAGACCTTTCCATTTATGACAAACCACTTAAGGCACATTTCAGTATCCTGCAAAGCATCACACAGTATTAAAGCTGCAGAGAAGCTCATCTGAAATCTTTCATCCAGATACTTCAAAGCTGAGAAGATCCAAACCACCCGTCTCGTTTTTACTAGCTGTGCGGGGCAGCGCATAGGTCCCAGTCTGTGTCTGCCATTCCCAAGTTGTGCCGGCTGCTGTACAGAAAGAGCAAAAAGGCAGTGCCTGAGTCCTCATCGTTTGGCTTTTGCATGAGCAAAGCCCGAGCCGGTTTTACCAAAGCGAGATACAGCCTACTCTAGTCTCTCCAGATAAATTAAAGGTACCAAAGAAAATCAATGAAGTACATCCTGTGCTGAGATTTTATCCAATTAATTTTTTCATCATTTTTATTTCAGAAGCAATTAAAAACTCCAACTGATATGAAAGAGGTCTTCTGGTTATTTCTGAAAATAGAGAAGGTCTGCCTACAGTTGGTGATCAAAAATTGAGGGTGGGGACGAGAGAAGAAAAAGAAAACCAAGTAAATGGGCAAATACAGCTCATTTCTCCTACCTTCTGCCTGCTGTTAATAACGATAAAGATTTTCAGAGTTATCTTTGCCCTTTCAACCTCTCTCCTCATTGATCCAACCATCGAGTAATAATCTGAGGCTTATGGCACAGCTTTCAACCAGCAAAGCGCAATGACACAACAGGGTCGAGAATAGAAAGCAAGGAGGAGGCAAGTGTGGGGAGCAGCCAGCTAAAATGGAAAAAGTAGTTACGGAAAGTTGTTACCAAATTCCTGTTTTAGGCTCTCTATATAGTAAATCCCATAATAATAACAGGATCCATGAATAAGTTTCCACTGTAACAGCACTTTTCCCTGAATTCACTGCTTCCACAGTGGTATCTGAAAGAGATACCTTTACTTTGCAAATGATTTGAAACGCAGGACGCGACACCCAGCACTAGTGCTGGTCCCCTTCTCCTGAGACACGCAGCCAGAGCGCTCCTCAAGCCTTCCAGCAACGGGGTCGTCAGGCGTGAAATCACGCATCCTCCTCCCTGCCACCAAGTCAGGGCGGCAGCAACCCGGGGGAAGTTACGCTTAAAGAGCCAAGAATACCTTATCTCAAAGGATAAGGTGGAGCTTTATTTTTCCCCTCTTGCAAAATTGGTTATTAAGTAATCTGTTTATGTCACACATACCAGCGTTCCTAACAGCGGCATTAGAGCAATATGTCATTACCTTCAGGGAAAGGAACGTGCAGTGCTCTAAATGAATGGGAACGGTTCTCTCGCACAGGAGGTTCAGCTTAGGGCCGTGCCTTTTCCTGATTTCCCCCAAGAAAGACGACATTTTTGCACTTGCTTTGCTTCCACACTCTGAATGGACCTGGGATCCCGTGTCTCGCCAAGTCACATTTCTGGGCACTTAGGTGCAATATCAGTGATGGCCAGCAAGGCAGCTCTTCAGAACTGACATGTCCTGAATTAACCAACTGGGCCCTCTCCCTGATAAAGATACCGGGGGGGCGAGCCGCAACGCAGTAACTGTGGAACCTCAGCAGCTGGTATCACTAGTAAAACAGCAGCACATTCCGGAGCAGGACCAGGCTGAGGTGCCATCTCAGAGAAGCCTTAAACAATCTCTGGAACCAGGCCAAAGGGACATACTTTTGTCAGGTATGTATGGTTTCGATTAACATAAACTCGGCAAGGGCGTGACCGACAATCGCTCCAAGGTGAAAGTGTCTCAACAGCCTACTGACCAGAAATGCCCGGTTTTCCCCCTCCTTAAAAAGCGAAGTCCTTCCCTCTCCCCCACGCCACTACACAGTCAAATCAGTGAGTGACGCGGTAATTCAGAGCTGCTCTCTCCATCCCACAGGCGTAACGCGAGGTCATCGGGCACCAGTGAAATGACACCACGCTGTTTCTCTCTCCTTGCGAGGAACGCGCAGAAGAGGGATGCTCTAAATGACAGCTTCACAATTCTGTCTCCCTCTGCTTGAAATCAAACCGATTCACAAGCAACAAAAGCAGCCTGCTCCCTAAGCGTGTTGCAAGGTTTCCCATTCTCATTCCCGTTCCCATTCTGTAGGGTTTTCCCATTCTCTCCTGCAAACTCCTGCAGCTGGGGAATCCCCAAGTCCCACTGCCCTAACACTACACTGCCCGCTCCTTTCTCATAAAGGCAACAATTCTCCTCTCCCTAGCAGAGGGGAAAGAAAACTGTCTCTCTTCTCTGCTCAGTTGTTTTTTTTCCTACAAGTTTGGTGAAATTAAGAGTAGCTTTAAAGAGTCTTCCTAAGAAATCCCATCAAAATTGACTGCTATGTGAAAAAAATTATTGGGAGAGAAATAGAAGCAGCAAGAGAGGCAAACAACTTACGATACGTACGACATTACCTCATGAAAGCAGGCTAAAAATAAAAACTACCAGAAAAACAAAATACATCTGCAGGTAAATATTCCACTTGCTGTTACCTTCTTCTACAGAGGATGCAACTACTGTAAGCCTTCTAGAAAAGCAAGTTATAACTATACCCTGAAAGGGGCTGATGTAATGGAGAGCACTTCAGATAGCACCTTCAGGTCTCTAGACAAATGCTCTCCTCCTTGAAACCACAGACTTAAAAGCATCTGCACCAAGTGTCAGCCGAAGGTCTTCAACCTGATGTCTTTGCCCTTCCACTGGATATTAAACTGGAAGAGGGTAGATTTAGACCAGATATAAGGAAGAAATTCTTTACTGTGAGGGTGGTGAGGCACCGGCACAGGTTGCCCAGAGAGGTGGTAGATGCCCCATCCCTGCAAACATTCCAGCTCAGGTTGGACGGGGCTTTGGGCAACCTCGTCTAGTTGAAGATGTCCCCGCTCATGGTGGGGGGCTGGACTAGACGACCTTTAAGAGTTTCCTTCAAACCGAAACCGTTCGGTGAGTCTACAGCTTATTCAATACACACAGAGTATGACTGTACACAGGGTGTATCCATGCGTATTACGCACGGACATTCAATGTACTTTTATACAGGGCACATATCTGGTAGAGTTAGATGTGGACACGCGTTTTCCCCCCTAAGGCGAATACGATCTCTTCAAAATGCCAAAGCCTTTAATGATGAGTTGCACTCTGCTAACGCCCCAAATTTGCCAGGTACGCTATGAATTCAAGGCTGCCCCACGCCAGAAGAGCGGAGCGGCCGAGCAGCAGATCACCAACCGCATCATACGCGCGCCATCCACGCATGGCGACACGACAGATGCTACAGCGTCAGCACTGGCCCCGCCGCAGACGGCGGCATCTTTCATGATTTAGCTAGGTCATTCACAGCAGCCTGGCGAGAATCAAGGCACTGCCTTTAGCACGAAGAGGGAATTAGCCAGTTACACAGCTCCAAGTCTCTCCGGAGGCTCAGACCAGCAACTACAGTTCTCGGGGGCCTGTCGTGTGCAATTAGAAATACTCGTTTCACCTCCTCTTCTCCTTCTCCCAGGGAGATGAACTGCAACTGGTCTGTTAGCCCAAATACATCAAAGGAGGATATCTACAGTGAAACATGGAGATAAACACGCCACGACTACAAATATTACTTAAAGCATTAACCACAACCTTTTTAACTATCTGCAGGTGCTGTGAAAGAGGACACTCCCGCACTGCTCTTCACAAACAGCGATCTGTATTATACTCCTGGACCGTCACATACGGGCCACACACACCGCAACAGCATGTGGCAATGTTGAAGACAGTAAAATATAAAAAAGGCTCTCCCTCGCTCTACCCTCTCCAGTTTTGCTGCTGTGCCAAAGTATCAATTATTCTACAAGCAAACGGCTAATACAAAAGCCCTGTCATTCCGTCCCTGCAGACAGTAAATGGCCTAATTAAACCCAACATGATGATTTATAGCTCCTGAGTACAGAGTACTTGGTATGAGAGAGGAGGAAAACACAGTGTTTTTCATGGAAACAACTGGTTTGTTTTGCTGGAAGCGTTCCGATTCATCTTTTGGAGGTTATTTTCTTTCACCCCGCTTGATCCTTCACCGTCCCCTACCAGTGACAACGACACGGCTGTAACCCTAGACCTTTCAAAACATTTTAAACCAAAAAGCCACAGGTATTTGTTTGCAAATAAAGAAACTAGAATAAAATTATATACTGAAGTCAAGAGGAGAAACGCTGGCCTCCTTTGCCTTCTAGGTAGGGTACATACCCTATCGTCCTTCCCCCCTTCTCCCCCGCTAGCTGATCAAGGACACGGTCAACCGATCCTCATAAAGCAAGAAAAAGAGAATTTGCTGCAAGTAATTCATTCCTATCAGCTTAACAATTTTCCACAAACAACCTTGAACTATAAATTCCTTTTATCTTTGGGGTTTCACAACACTTCTAGTTAGAGAGTAAATAAAAACACTTTCAAAGGAGTCTACTCTTTTCCTAAAAAGTGAAGAAACTGTTTGCCCTGTTACAAAGTTCCTCTTCAAGGGGAAAACCTCCTCTTCATGCCTCCTAAGCTAAAAGGATAACCCAGGCAAACGTCCCCCCGCCGCCTTATGTCTGCCCCCGACACCCGGTACAAATTCTGCTGGTTTTCCCCGTTCGCTTCTCCATCTGCGACACCTGCCACCGTGTCCCAGCACTTCCCAGTGCCGCGGCAATAGGCAAGCGTTGCCAAAACTATATTCACAGAGGAAAGAACAATAAATAGCCCCGATCGCTCACAGCCGCTACGCGAGGCAGAGCAAACACGGTTTTGTGGGAAGTGGAAATGTGCGCACAGAACGACACTCCCTCCCGAACTGAAAAAGAGGAATTCTTTAAAAAGTCAGTTTTATCCCCTTCAAGCTTACCGGTGTTTCAGACAATTTCAGGATTAATTACTCGGCAAAACAAAGGCGTCCTTTTTCTCTGCTGTCCAGCCGTGCCGCTCGCACAAACAAATACAAATCGCGAAGGTACCCGTGCTCCCCAGCAGCCCCACGTCTCTTACCTTCCACTTCTTCTTCATCACAAACATGCTTAAGGAAGGAAGCCCCTCTATCCAGTACCGCCTCGTCCTCCATCCTATAGTAATAGAAAAGAAAAAAGGAATGCTCAGACTTCTCCTGGAGCGAGCTATTTGAACTAGCCCAGGTCCTGGGCAGGTTAACTTGCAAGCTGTTGTTCATGTTCCTGGGGGCACTCCTGCTCTCCTTCCAGTGCCTGCTGTTCCTTCATAGAGCTCCTCTCCAACGGCGCCGGGTTTAAGCTGGCCTCACGTAGCTCCAGTTCTAACCTTGCGGGGACATCAGTGGTGACAGGTGTGAGAAAGGTAATCCCGGCTAGAAGTCTTTGGGTATTTTTCCCCGTTTCTTGGGTTTTTTGTGGTGGGTTTTTTCCCCCTCCTCCTTTTTCCTTTTTCTTAAAAAGGTCGCATACACACACAGCCAAGTTTGGGACTGCCTATGCAATAGCCAAGAGTTTGCGGAATTCCAGTTTCCCTTTAAAGTTCTTCTGAAAGACCCCGGCTGCAGAATCACGTACACAAGCAAGCACGCACACTACACGCAGACACACACACGCATTCGAATGCACAGCGGGAGACCAGCCTTCAGCCGGCCTCTTAATGCCAGCAAAGCACGCTTGTCTGTTGAGAGGCAAGCTTTGTGTCACATGTCGGCCTTACAGAAATGTGACATATGAGGATTATCCAGAGACCGAGCCACAGTAAGTCAGACCATCACAGCAGTCATTTATGTGTGTCACCCATTCAGTCGCCCATTCGGGGACGGGTTTTAGCCGTTGCCTTCTCTCCACCTCTTATCCACTTCTCTGTATAGAAGAGACTCCTAATTCTACACCCTCGCCAGACAAGTCCTCCCGTGGCGCTGCCCAGAACTGGTGCCGCTGTGTTTCACCCACAAAATGAGACCCCGCGCGCCTTCCAAGCGCTCATCTGCAAATTTGCTTTTGACAAGCAGATACAAAAATGCTAAACTAACAAATAAAAAAAAGAATCTAGCTATATTAACTAATCTCCTTTCATATCGTTCAGAGGCTAAGCCCGCATTTGCTGCTCGCTGCTGGCCAGTCACTGGGGAAGATTTCTATCTTAATACAACTGGAGACCGAGATGGTAACCTGCTTTCCTACCAATGGAAAGAAACAGGCACATGTAGGGAACGATCAAAACCACCACTTTATCCTTATGTTCCTTATAGAGGGACAAACTCGGTACAGACAGAGACAAAGCCTTCAAAACTTCTTCACGCCCATATCGCTTCCACTCGCGACCCCGCGAGATCCTCCGACGCTTAAGAGAGTTTTTTAAGGGCCCATTCAAATTCAGGAGGGTATGAAAACTGAGTGGATGAATACCAAGAAATCAAGATGCGTTAGGATATCTACCTTGCACATCAACGCCTACCTGAACAAAAAAACCCCAAACAAACAAACAAAAAAATCAGCCACAAAAAGTACCAGAGCTCTCAGTGTCCGAAAGCAGCAGCACGGCAGCCGTTGGCCCATCTTCGCCCAGTTCCCCTCCACCTCAAGCACCTTTGCTCACACGCCACCGGGCTCACCCTTGGTTCCTAGTCCGCAGCTCAGCTCCCATGAACGAGTCTCAAACACCTCACAGATAAAGAAGGACAGGGCAAAAATAGGTCAGATGCAAAACCGCTAAGCGTACAGAAAGACACATTTTTCTTTTGGACTATCGGACAGCAGCAAGTAATACAGCACTGTACCCAGGAACGAAGGTGACCATCAGCTCCTAAGCTGAGGTCCCGTTCGGACCTTTGGGACAAGGCCCACCTCCCCTTCGCAACAGGCTGCTTCTGCCCGCCGGAGAGCCAGAAGCCGGAGGATTTGAAGACCGAGGTCCTGCAACTTCGGAAAGGTACCATGTCACAAGCGGCCGCTGCCCCGCGCCATGAGGTAGGACGCGCGTCACCAGCACAGCACACAACGCCGGCTCTCGGGCACGCGCACGGGAGCCTTCCCCGAAAGCTCCAGTTCTTCGTTAAATTATTCAAGACCATTTACGCATCTTTTCTGAGGCAACAAAAGGGAACAGATGTCACGGCCGCTCTTGCCCGTTTGCAACGCTTGCGAAGGCACACCCCGATTTTTATTTTGTTTTATTCCCCCCTCAAGCAGCACAGTAGCTACTTGCTATAAACACAACTGAAAACATCTGGAACAGATGGGGCTGGATTTCCAGACCACACGCGCTTTATTACTCGGCGAAGCCTGTCCTTACGGTTTCACACGGAAGGCGCCCCGGCCTCTGCCTCCGT